GAAGGCGCTATATATATTCCTCTGAATGGTGGACTTGAAGGTAGGACCTCAAGATGCTTTTGGTCATGCTCTCCTGACAATCACATCAGGAAACAAAAAAAAAGCCCACAATGTTCAGACTTTTGAAGAAAAAAAAAAAGGGGAAAAAAAAAAAAAAAAAAAAAAAAAACAAGCACACGATGTAGGGTGTACATGGCAAATCGCCTGGTTGTCTTGTATTCTCGGACCGACGACGTTTGACACCACATGATTACAGCCGAGAAAGCGGAGCGGAGGACAAGATCGGTAGCCTGCAATTTAAACCAAAGCTACCAAACACTGTCTTTTACGACCGTCTTGGTCCCGAGGACGCCTGCCCTTATTCGATTGGATCCGTTGGATCGATGATCGGAGGGATGCAGGTCCTTTTCTGCCTGGAGGGGTTGGCCTGTTTTTTTCCGGAGGGACAGGGGGAGGAGGTTGAGACTGGACTCCCGTTGTGCATGAGCTCAACAAATGTCAAGTTCAGACGCGTGTTGCCGAGCCGTTTCGACCTCTGTACGCGCAATCTTTTTTTTTTTTTTTTTTCCCTTCTGTACTTGCAGTCTTGGCACCATCAACATTTCTTTTTTTTTTTGGCTCCATCAACGTGTTTATATTCTTGTAGACAAAGAGTCGAAGGGTACGTGACCGTACGTCGGCAATGGCAGATGTACTGTTGACTTCCCGTAGTCTGTTGTGTTCCACTGCTAGTCTGCTATCGAATTCAAGGGTCTTGAGAATAGGTCGACACCCGAACCGAGGGGCAAGCCAGTACGTTTCCCAGCTGTTTTGTCCCGAAACACGGCTGTGAACGCGCCGCATTCAGGGCTCGGCCTGCTGAAGGGAAAATGCTGGCTGCGCCCGGCGAAAAAATTGATTGTGCCCACACCGGTTCTACAGAAGTTGGCACATGAAAGAAATTGGCATCGGACTGGTGGGGTTTAATAGCTGGACATCTGGCACATGGCAGAAATCAGCATTGGAAGACAGAAGCTCAGAAGTAGTACTGGTGGTTTGAAAGCTGGATGTCTTCAGGTGTAATGTATCTGTCTATGTTCCACAACATCGCCACGGATGTCTGATCGGATGGTTTGCTCATGTCGTACGAGAAGAATGGATACCAACCGCGCCTTGGTGAGTTCATACCTATTGGTCTTTGATTCGTCCATACCAATCTGTCCTTGATCGGTTCATACTAATCAGTCTTTGATTGGTTCATCGTACTGATTACCAATATGCTGCCAAAATCAAGCTTAGCTCACAGGCTACCAATCAGTGTTCGATTGATTCATACCAATGTGTCCTTGATTGGTTCATACCAATGTGCCCTTGATTGGTTCGTACCAATCGGTCCTCGATTGGTTCGTACCAATCGGTCCTCGATTGGTTCTTACCGATCAGCCCTTAATTGGTTCATTCCAATCAGTCTTCGATTGGTTCGTAGTACTTCGTACCAATCAGTCCTTGATTGGTTCGTACCCATTGGTCTTTGATTGGTCCTTACCGATCCGTTCTTGATTGATTCCTATCGATTGGTCCTTAATTGGTTCAGTTCTGGCATTCCTTTATGACCATTGGTTTATACCAATCTGTTCTTGATTGGTTCATACCAATTGGTCCTTCATTGGATCGTACGCATCGGTCTCACCAATGCGTTCTCGATTGGTTCATACCAAGTGGTCCTTTATTGGTTCAATGGTGACACTGCTTTATGAGCGGGGAAGAAAGGCCAGGGAATTCTCATGATATGGTGGGTTGGAGGACATTGACAACATACTTTAATGCGATTGTCTGAAAGACTTAAAAGTCATCACTGGTCCTGAAGGAAAACTACCAAACCGGGGCATTTTTCTCGGTGTCAGAGGACCAAGCCAACATTTGTTGGGCCTACTGGTGGTAGCAGGGAGCAAAACCCTGCCTACATTTTCCATTGTAAATTTCATTTTGCCATCCATAAATTTTCTTTAAAATTTCCAATATTTTTGCCTGAGAAGATTGCCTATAGGCTACCAGAGTGGCCCGGGACCACTTGCCTGGCCGGGCCAAAAAGGAGGACGAGGGAGGAGGGGAGGGGGGGGGGGGAGAATATATGTATAGAGCCCCTTGGTAAGAGCCCCCCGGTAAACAGTAGGCAGAGAGGGAGAGAAGGACAACAAACGAGGGGCTGTGAGAAACTGTTTCATCAGAGTTTCACTGACTCATCAGGAGGCAGAAACCTCAACAGTCTGCAGAATCCCCTATCTGATAATCCACCTCAACCCCGGTTGCGGTTAAGCATCAATATATGGGTTCAGCCTCATGACGAGTCGGTGAAACTCCGACGAAGCAGTTTGTCACAGCCCCCCATTTGTTGTCCTCTTCTCCCTCTCTGCCTACAGTTTATCGGGCAGCTCTGTTTGATGATATATATATATACAAGGTTACCAGGACGAACATCCAGGAGTTCGGGGTCCAATTCAGGGTGCAAACCCGAAGGGGTTCGGCCCTTGCCAAAAATGATTTCAGGGCCTGAATTTTATTTTTTTTTCGAATTTGTTTTTGTGAGTTCTTTGTGATGTGAGGTACATGCCTATGATTTTTTAAGGCAACGTAGTAGCTCATTATTTAGAAGTTGTTCGGAATGTTTACACACATGTGGGACCCATTCAAAGAGATCGTAAATATGGGAATTATAGTAAATATTACTAAAATATATTACCGACCCTGGTTCGGAACAGAAGAACTCAAAAAAGTTTCTTCGAATTATCTTGCCATATATTCCTGTTCAAAGTATGCTTTGCTTTACAAAGATGCTAAATTTCAACAACACTGGATTGCTAAGCCAAAAAAAAAAGAAAAATCACTGAAAATGGTGGTGTCAAAATGTGCTTGCCCACTCACACTTTAGTGTTTTTTTCTCTTTTCGCTTTTGGTTTTCACTTTATTTCGGGCCCTAAACAATTTTTTTTTATTATTATTTTCTTATGAGTTTTGTAGCATATGAAACACAAGTCTATAAATTTACAGGGCATTTAACTAAGCCAAAAAAAAAAAAAAAAGCCAAATATGGTGGTGTTTAAAATGTGTCGCCCACGCATTGGCTTTAATTCTCTTTTATTTATCTTATTTTTATTATAATATTTGTTTTTGGTATTTTATTTTTATTTTAAATATGGTAAAGAATTTGATTGTGACGCAGAGGCAAATATTGTTCAGTTTATTTTTCTGCACAACTTTTTTTTTTTTTTTCTGGCAGGGGGGGTTTGCGGGGGGGAGGTCTATAGGCGGTCCGAATGTTCGGGTGTTCGGGTTTCGCCGATCTGCCCTGGCCAAATACTGGCTACCATGTATATATATATATATATATTTGTGATGATATATATGTATCGTCAAATAGAGCTGCCCGGTAAACTGTAGGCGGAGAGGGAGACGACGGAGAGGGAGAAAAAGGCAACAAACAAGGCGCTGTAAGAAACTGTTTCGTCAGAGTTTCACCTGTCTCTTATACACATCTAGATGTGTATAAGAGACAGGACACTCTCACAACACACAACACACACACACACAACACACACACACACACACACACACACACACACACACACACACACACACACACGGGTCCTGTCCGGTCTGTAGG